CCTAAGTGTAACTACGTCAGTGAGCATGGTGTCTGTGTCCTGTGATAATGGCAGCTGTAATTACACTCAGATACGCCATTGTTCAGTCTATCTCATTAAAGCAACAGGAAAGAGCTGCTCCAGCATGTTTGTAGCATGTATCTGATCCCTGATCAGTTCAACCACTGAATGTTGTTGTCTGTGTGTGTAAGGGAGTGACTTGACTGAGAGCCGGTGAAGATGATAAAACCTTTGCCTTGCACGTGGTCCATCCATGGGAGTCATCCATGTGTTTGTATTAGGTTATGGATAGTTATTAGCTGCCTAACTAAACTGTTATTGTTTTCACTAATTACTAAAGTGCACACATTCTTCTTCTTCTGAGGTGTTTGGCTGTTACCTTACTAATTCCCATGTAGCCAACAGAGATGCATTTATAGCTAAAGTGAACTAAATAGCATCTGGATTTTATTTGTCTGTTAGTTCAGGTTTGTATTTCTCCAACAAAGGTATCATAAAATGCTTTGGTATCGACACTAGGAAGTCGGGCTTAATATTTACAATAGTAATTTCATATTATTCCCTTTTTAAGTAGCAAAAGAAGCGACGTTCTTCCAGTTCTGGTTTGTTGGAAATAAATAGGAGAACTGAGCAGTGATAGCCACAATGGCTGAGATAAAGATAAGAGTGCAACCTACAGAAACCCAAGTAAACCTAATTAACAGAAAATCAAAGGGAAAAGACCACACTACGGGCACACTGTTTGACAGGTTCGACAGTGACTGCTTATCACTAGGGATTTTAGTGCTAAAGTCAAGGGGAAAGATACATCGCAAGCCGTAAAATAAAAAAAAACGTGTAGTAGAAAATTAATATCATAGTTGACACAAGTTAAACACCATGTGAGTCTCTGCATGCCAGACATTTGTTGGTGCAGTTAAAACAGCGCAGTTGTTTGTACATGACTTCCCTCTGACTTTAATGGAGTGTCCAGACCCACTGGAATGGCTTTCAGTAATGACTTTAATCATTTGTTCAGATCTATTTCTGCTCATCATGTAGCCCCATTCCTCTCTCTCACTCTGTAAGACTGATAGAAGCGTAATGATGTTCTTACAGTTTCAATGTTGCGTGTCAGCTCAGAATAACAGTGTGGTTTGGAATGAGGCACTGTATGTTTGTACTGTAATATCTTCTTTTGTCTACTGTTTGAATTGGATTAATGGTGCATTTGATGTCCAGAAAAAATACAAAGCTATGTATCTGTCAAAGTGGTTTTACAGTACTCACAGTCATTAAAACTGTTGTCCATCCTAGTCCATACAGTGCATGGTCAGGTCAACCAGTGTTTGGTGTTTGAATTATATTTTCCATTGTCATGATTCTCTCCCTTGAACCAGGATATTGAACTGGTTCAGTTATTACTATCTTCCAGGAAAAAGGCTTGTAGATCCAGAGTATCTCATGAACCTTCAGATCTGGGCTAATAATGTAACAATTATTCCACAAGTGACACTAAGTAACACTCCCAATCTTTGCTGTTCTACCTTAACTCAGGCAGCGAGGTGGCCACTGATACAAATGCTGAGTTCACCCGATTCTCCCCAGGGCTGTTTGACAGAGAACTAGACAGATACTGATTGGAAGGAGGGCATAAAGGAGGGGATGATTGTGAGCAATGCCATCGTCAATCACGCCACCCATTACTCACACAGCCTCCGTGCCACAGGACACGACGAGTCATGTGTACCTCCTGAAACAGACAGCGTACCGTAATGAAGGATGCAGTTCATAAAGTCTAAAAGTGTTATCTGTATTTTTGGTGCTTTACCTCTTCTGCCACTCTGAGTCGATGTCCGGATGCATATCTAATCTGTTTAACCGCAGGATACAGAGAATGAGGCAATAACAAGAGGAGATTTCTCTCACCAGAGCAGTGACAGCAATCGCTAAGGACAAGTTTCACACAGTTAAGATACCTATACATTGTGCAATGTTAGGCTGTCCCAGATGAAGATCATACTGTGAGACATGTCTATCATGGCCGGTTCAGAGCTGTGCTGATGGCCGGCACTATAATTCTGACGGTGTCTGAAATTCAGACTCAGTCACAGTTTGCAGCCACCAAACCAACCAACACCATACGGTATGAAATGACACCGAATACAATGGCTGGAGTGACAGTGTAGGTGTTATTTTTAAAGCTGAGCAGCAGTGATTCAGTGGCTAACACTGTCTGGTATGTCTGTTTGCAATTCTTTCTTTTGTATTTACATCATAAAGCAACGATTCCCCTGAACCTCATCACACAGTCTGACAATCCTCAAATTTCATATTTTACAGCCTTACAGAGCTTGTGTCTAGCAATTTTATTGGACCCATCTTGGTCGGTATGACATTAAAAGAACATGCTGATTGTTGTTATCACACAGTTTCCAGGAGCCTTTAGCTGTGGGGTTGACTTGTGCCAAGACTTGTTGTTCAGATCACGAAGTAGAGTCCACTTGATCTGCAGTGGGCAGGTTGTAGACAAAGGGGTCTAGTTTTATTTTATAATGTTGTAAATTCAATTATTTCTTGCTGACAGTGTTTGGTGTTATGCATTACTTTAGTAGTTAAGTGGAATTGGCAATGATAACAACTTTCCAGACTAGCAGTATAATGAATTACTACTCAGGGTGTGTAAGTTGATCGATCCCCGGCTCCTCCTGTCCACATGCCAACGTGTCTGTGAGCAAACCTCTGAACCCCAAATTGCTCCCAACGAGTGTGTTAGTGGGACAATGTAAAATAATGTAATGTGATTTAGAATGGACTCATAATTAGTCACAATTCTCTATCATATGAGCTATATTAGATTGGTCAGGGTGGCAAGAACACAGGACACAATTGGTTTCTGAAAATTGAAAAACAAAACAAAAGAAAATACTGGCCGGCCCCTTAGTTACCTCCACTTAAGAGAGAACCAGACCTTTATTTGAGGGAGACTGTTAGCACAACACATTCAGTTTACTGTTATAAATGACTAAAGAAACCAGAAAATATTCACATTTGAGGGGCTGAAATCAGAGAATTTAGAAATGTTTTCTTTTAAAAATGACTCAATACTTAATTGATTATTAAAATACTGATTAATTTGATAGTTGATACTAATCCTTTTATCGACCAATCGTTGCAGCTCTATTGTTATTTCAAAGAAACAAAGCAACAAGAAAATCTTGTTCCTGACTGTTAGCACTCACAGAAATTGATGAGACCTAATATGTGAATGAGTAGAGCCTATGCTTTTCTTTACTTTTCCCTATTATTAGAGGAACATCTTTCCTCCATTTTATGATGTATGATTTTACTAAGAAGCCTCCCTGTTTTCTGATCTGCTCTAGTTTGCTGTGTTTGTTCGTTCTGTTTGCTGTTTATACACCCTCACTTCCTCTGAGCTTACCTGTTGTAATGCTAAATGTAGCATAATCCCCATTTTCACAGCATTAATTCCATCTGCACAACAACTTATCTCACTCACACACAAAATCTGTTGCTCTGACCTTTTCTTTCAACAGAAATACTCTTCCAGCTGGTTCTGTTTTACCAATCTTGCATGTGGTTGTTATGGAGTTGGATAGTCTGTGAATATGTCTGTCTGTCTATCATGAACCCAATCGCCTGAGCTGCTGCAAGGGCTAGTAATTTCCCCTCTCTTAGGGGAAATTGCAGGGCTTTGCATTCCACTGACGTCAAAGAGCGATATGATTCCTTTGACGTCAGAGCGTGGGCTCTGGGCGTCATTTTTGAGGATTGTCTGAGTGGGTTGAAAGCAGCTGCCCCTGTGGTGGTGTCTAATGCAGCTGCTGATAGTGCAGCTGCTCCTGTGTCCACACTGCTCTCAAGGTCATGAATATAAAATCATTCATGTTTTATCACAAGCTTATAGTAGCACCATGAAACCAATTATCAGATTTTCTATCATTTTAAAATACTGAAAAACTAAATTACTGTTCACAAGTGGGGAACAAGTATTAAATTTGCCATCTAACAGGACAAAGTGGTCACAGTATGTTCATGTACATTGATGTAAGTAGAACATTGTGGTCTGCATATATGTATTTTATATCAGTGAGGGTAGACAAAATAGGAGCACTTTCAGTCTAATGCGATGCAATTCAACAACACCACAAACTGCAGCTTCCAAAATGACCATAAAGGTGAATCAGCATCTCTCTGAACATTATAAGCTTCATGGAGGTGGGATTTATTGCAGGACTAGAGTACAATTGAGTGTTTGCTAAGACCCACCCCCCTTAGTTACTGTCCAGAGAGTGGTCAATTGAGTATACTGAATCACAGCCATAGATAACTGAAAAGAAAGATCCAACCTAACAAACATTTATCACATTTAAACACTAAACATTAAACATTCAAACAAAACTATTTGCGCTGTAAATTTTATAATTCACACCTTGCCTTGCTATGTTTTTCTTATTCCTGTGCAATATTGAGATATGAGATGTGAGTGTGAAGACATTGTTTTGCAATAACATTCAACAATTATACAATGAGGCAAGATGTAAAAAAAATAAATAAAAAAAAGTAAAATAAAAAAGGCACAGATATTATCTTGTCCTCCAAAAATGGCCTCAGTAAGCAATCAGCCACGAGACATGTTGTGCTTTGAGCTAAGGGCTGTGATCACACATTCAAAAATTGGCAGCTAAATCAATATGCATGTACTCCTACCTTTGATCAAAAGCAACAAGTCCGGGCCAGTTTCCTGGGGATCGTCTAGTCATTGTGAAGAATATGGCCCATCCAGGAAATATAGGGAATCACTCACTAAACATGAGACTGGTGAGGGAAAGTGAGTACATTAAAAAGGTAATTAAAAACAAAATGGCTCCTGTCAAACCTTGTAATACATCACAGGCTGTCAGTATCTAACAATGTGAGCCTGTTCCGCTGTTTATTCATAGCTTTGTCTCTATACTCTCTATACTTGCTGACTGTGTGATTCCATGGTGTCTTTTCAGATGGGATCAGTGTGACAGGCCTGCCAATCTCCAGTCCGCTTCGTCAAGTCCTCAAACCCAGGGCCGAGACCAAGACTGTCAGCGAGTCGGGCAAGGCAGAGTACAGCCACGTTAAGGTGAATGAACAGTTACAACTATTGTTTTGCTCAGTCCTGGATCGAGATACAAGCAGTTGTTTTCTTTGTGTTGTGTTGTGCTTTGAGTTTAGGGAAAGCACATATGCACCTTTTCTGCAGATAATGGGATATTTAACCCTTTCATTGTCGCTCTTTCTTTCTATGTCTTTCTCTCTCTTTATGCCAAGTACATTGTGTGCAGTGTATGCAGTGTCTTTGCAAAAGTTGAGGTAAAGCTGTAGCATTATTTCCTACCAAACAACAGCTTTTGGTATATGTCTATAGAAAGAACACTGAGTTTATTCAGCTGGTGTCTCACCTTGGCTGCAGATGCACTGTGCTCTTTGAATCCAGACTCAGAGCTCCAGCATAGGCATAGAACTGAGATGAAACTGTTTACAAGGGGGAAAATATATAGTTTGACAGTGAAGGAGAAGAGGCGAGATGGAGACTAGATTGACCCGATCAGCAGGGGGAGAAAGTTGCGGACTTGTGGTTGTCAAAGGGGTAGAAATGGGCGTGCTGACCGAGTCTACCTGCTGAGGGTCATCTGTAGCACAACAGCAACCACCACCTGCAAGTGTGGTGGCGGCATTGTCTTGCCTCTTAAAAACCAGAAGAACCCCTTTCTCTCCTCTGTGAATCATCAGGAGGAAAAACAACGTTGATGTCTAGTGTTCAGATGTGCTGCCAAACAAAGTATACTTTTCTTTAGAAAAGTTTTGCAGGATGATGACTAATGGTGGAGAAAACACAGGAGGATGTTTTTTGTACATGGTCAAAGAAGGCTTAGTCAGTGACAACATTTTACATTTTTTACAGGAAGAGCAAAAAATTGTTAGACTAATCATAACATGGAGAAATAATGACATCGTGTTCCAGAATATCATACTCATCCACACTGGTTATATGCACAGATTTCGCAAGATATTAGAACACACATATATAACTATCCTTCATCCTAACCCAAAGATGGACTGCTGTACTGTAGGGGTGCAATGTAAATCTGAAGAGGGCAGTGCCTAAACAGGAATTGGTTCTGATGGCTTCATTTTCTTTGTTAAATTGCTTTTAGATTTGAAAGGTTAGCTTCCAAGAAAATATACAACATACAATTAGCTTTTAGTCACTTGACTTCAGTTTGTGTGCAAACACATTTTTGTTCATCCTTAATGGATACCAGATATTCTAAAGTTCCTCTAACTGTATCACTGTTTGTGATGTTCAGTATGTATTGGATGTAGTATGAGTTACTATACTGACTACAAATCCCCATAATGCTGCACAGCACTGCAGGTAAATAGCACAATTCATGCCCCTTTGGATTTATTGTATAACTTGTTAGATATCCAATACCTTTACAGTAAGGGGAAAAGCCAATTACATAAGGACTCTTATCCTACTAGAACTCTGCTTAAAAGCAGGTTGTGAGGACACAAGCTCCTTCTCCTTTCATTTTGTAGACGTGTTGTGGACATACAGTAGACACCAGGGTGATTCATTTCACTGTGTGCTCAACAAATGCCTGTGCACTGATTTGCCAGTATACTGTAGTAAATGTATTCTGGGTTTCCAGCTTCATGACTCATCATCGTTATGGGCTGTATTGTTTTTAGCAGTTTGACTCAAGCCCACAACAAGGGCTTGACGTATGCTGACGTACAAGGGGTGGACAGGTACAACACTGTTGACTTAAATCCAAGTAAAGTTATGAAATACAATAAATGTGATGTTGTTTGTCTATAGAAAAAGTTTTAACTGATAGGAGGAAGATTATTTGATTATTATTTTTTGGGGCTTTTTATTGCCTTTATGATAGTGAAAGCTGAAGATAGACAGGAAAAGGGGGACAGAGAGAGGGGATGACACGCAGCAAAGGGCCGCAGGTCGGATTCAAACCCTGGGCCACTGCAGCAAGGACTGAGCCTCAGTACATGGGTCGCCAGCTCTACCAGCTGAGCTAACCGGGCGCTCATACAGGTAACATCTTTGAACAATATCTGAACTTTAATCTTGTGCTTTATTTGCACAAGGTTGTTATTGTTACAGTTGTTTACAGTTTACATAAATTGTAAAACAAACACCATTGCCACCCCACAACAAACATCCCCTGCTGTCACTCAATAATGTAAAAATTGCTCCACTTTAGAGAGGAATGTACAACATGGTAACAGCAACATCGCCTTCCATGGAGGCTGCCATGTTGAATTGCCATGTTTCTACAGTAACCCTGAAGGGACAAATCAAACATTGGCTCTAGATAGGGGCATTGATGTTTTTCACCCAGTTTTGATGTGCAACTACGCCGCTAGTTGCCAATAAATCCTACACATTGGACCTTCAATACAAGCCACTTAATGTGGAGTGAATTTGAGAGATGAAAAGTATTAGTTAAAGGTTATAATGAGAGGTCAAGCAGAATTAATTTTGAAACACCCCTTGCTGGCTATTAGAAAGAATGCACTTTTACATTGCCATTAGTTTTTACACCCGGAAGCCCCACCTCATCCATTATATACTCTGTGTGTTTACTGCTCCCTGTTAGTTTGTACAAAGCCAGTGTGAACACAAACCAGACTAAAAGGCAACAATATATGTATTTTTCCCTGGTGTCAACCAACTAAACTGGAAACATGGGGAAAAAATAAAAGCACCGTAAGGGTGTGGGGGTTAAGGTGAGTAGACCGGAGTTTGCATCCAGTAACCATAACCATTGCCTGACCATAGCCATACCAGCTGTCATACACAGACATTCAACGCAATCTGTGTTTTCAGTCATCCAATATCGACTTTCTTTTCTAGTCATGGTTGTTCCATATCGGTGATAAGAAAAAAGGTTTTCACCATACAGAACCTTTAAAAAGTGCCTTAAACATCAGACAGTTCTAACAAGACGGTCTCAATTATGTTGTTTGAAGACATTGCTGTGAACCTTTCTAGTCCTCTTTATTGCTACCTTTCTGAGCTATGTCTCTGCATATGTTAGAGTGCTTTTTGAATATGCATACTGCTAGTGTTATGTGGAACTTGATTTGTCAGTGTGTGTGCATGATAGAATGGGAGAGAATTTATATTAGCTGCTAATAACTGTTTTTGGCCGGGAGGATGGATGGACAGATGCACAGGAAATTGAAAACCTTCTAGCCAAACTGGCTGGCAGTGATGCAGGGTGTTCCCTGCATATCTAAATCTTTCGTGGGCCAATTAAGTGTGAATTTGGCCATTTTTGACCACCTAAACCAAATTTGGCCATTTTTATTGCTCAGGCTTAAGTTTTTATATACTTTCCCCCCATTGTTTTTCCCTTATGTTTCGTGTATTTGATCTGTGAGCATCTAAGCACTACCTTGGCATGTATACTTGAACTTGCATTGATGAGTAAGTGCAATCAATCACGACTGATCTGTAATCAGCACAGGAGGAGTCAACATGTTTATCTCACTGACCTTTCATCGCTCAATCTTACCACCCGTTTTTCAACCCTCCCACCAAATTGCAAATGCCCGTGGGCTTGAAAGATGCGCATGCTGTCAGGATGGGATAGATCCGCCGCAGGTGAAGGAGGTCTGGCTGCTCAGACGTGTTGGTTTTGCCGATTATTTACACATTTTCAATGACTCATTCCCTAGGAGAGTGAGGGCACTTCCACAACTTGGTTTCTTTGACACAATCAAGTACTCGTTTCACCTCATCACCATGGCTTCATTCCACCTGCCTGTCCTCAGTAGCACATCCCCCCTTCAAGCTCTATTATGGTTTGATTGTGTCTGCAAAGTGCTGTGCCTTTGTTATGTCTTCAAGTTCCGCCGTGATCGTCCCCATTGGAGTGTCTGCATGGGACTGAAACGGCAGCAGATGCAGAGTTTTATGGGGATTTGGACCCCAACTCCATCTGCTGAGGATTTATTTGGGGGGTGACTTGAGTGACAGAGTAGGAGTAAGAGGAAAGAAGGGGATACAGTAATCCCACCCTTGTGATTAACCATGAGTCACTGTAATGCTGGCCAGTGTGAAGTTCTGCTCATTCACTTTGCCTTCCTGTGAACCTATCTTCACTGGACAGATGTCATCGAGGGCATTTTAAGTGAAGCTATGATACTGAAAGAGGCAGGCTCCTCACACACGCCCAGCTTTTATCCTCAAAACGCCAAATGTCTAGGCTGCTGCAAAGCTGCATGCAGTGCGATTTTGCTTTCCTGTTCATAATGCCATATTATTGTAATATAGAGATTGCTGTTAGAATGTAGATGCATGTGTTCCTCTGAGGCAGCAGAGCAAACAGAGAAATAGTAGGCTGTTACTGGGCTTCCTCACGAACAGCATCAGTGGTGTTAGTGCAAAACTTTCTGTATGGTATGCACCTCTTAACCCAGCCAAATATCAAATGAAATGATCCCAATTTAGGTCCCCATTTGTAGTGGACACTACAGTAATATCTCTGACAGTGGCTCTCTGGGTTTCAGAGGTATTCAGAAGTCTTTCTGTTGGTTATAGTGGAGCCCTGGAAACGTAAGAAATCTTGTTTTCTAGAAATTAGGCCCATGTTATATTTTGGTATTATCGATCAGTTTTGTCAGTTTAATGATGTTTTTTAGGGCCAATACACATTAAAGAACACCACTCTAAAGGTGCCAGTTTTAGCCCAAAAATTCCAACTGTTGTCCTTGTTGTTTGGCATATATTTAGAGCTAAAACATTTAGTTGATCAATACATTCATTGATCAAAAAAGAAAATGAATCAGCAACAATTTCAGTAATCATTTCTTTCATCAAGCAAAAAGTCTTGAATTCTTTTCTGCCTTCGTCTGTTTTAATAATTGTATACTGAAAATCTTTGGATTTGAGCTCTGGAGAATTTCGATGGGAATTTTAAAATATTTTACTTCATTCAAACACCCCAAATGAATGAAAACCGGTCCAAAATAACCCATTATCCTAGTGCCTTATTTTACAAAACTGCATTCATGTATTTTTCGGGTAGTGGAACAAACTGAAAATAG